ATGGTCTGCAGAAATAGCAGGCTTCAGAAAGATTTATCTTTAACAGTATGTAAACAATTTATCTTTGCATGTGGAAGCTGCACATCAGATAGGATGCATTCTTGCAAAGTGCCATTCTTTGAAACAGTCTTCAGCTTTACCTTCAGATAAGACCCCACAAAACTGCATTAGAGAATATATCAAATGATACAGAGACAGGAGAACTGGTAGGAAAGAAGGGAATCCAGCCTACACTTTTTATTCTGCTAATGAGCATATTATATAGACTGCTTGATGACAGGGTTTGTGGGGTCTTTCTAATAGCTAGGCTGAGTTATGGAGGTGAAAGTATGATTTGTGCATTTTGTCAACCATATAAGCAAGCTTTAATCTCATCAGTTTTAATACATTTAATTTATTTTTAGTTATACTTTGGACAAAAATAGAACTCCATTACAAAGCGACATACATTATCTTGTTTTTTCTTCCTGTGAGATGCCTGAAGAAAGGAAGAGACCATGATCTGTTCTAAGTGTGTGAATGAACGTGTAAAATATAATTATCTGAGGAGGACAGTGGTATCTTTTCATAAAGACTTCAAGTAGCCAGCTTTTGTGTCACTGCACAATCTTTACGGTTGCAGGAGCTTAGCAAGAAGCTTAGAGAGCTTTGCCTGTGTTTTCCTTCTTTTCTCATCAGGGCCTTGATGCCCGCTGATTAAGTGGTCATAAATCTTTGTGATATTAGCAGAGGAGTCCATTTCCATAGCAAATGACAACCTTTCCCTGCCTCCTTTTAACTGTTATCACACGCATGCGGCAGCTACTTGTACCTATCATTATCACACACACCATATATTCCGTACAATGAATGCTCTCTTCCTGGAAACCTGAACCTCTTACCATTGCTAGAGAGTAGCCTTTACTCTTGAGGTCACCTAACTTGGCAAGTCAGTGAGTTAATGGGTCTGAAAAGATTATCCTAGACCAAAATTGATGTAAACATTCTCCTTTCAATGTAGAACGCATGGTCTTGGATGTCTTTCATCTTTTGCTGCACATTCCAGATGTTTTCTTCTTTCCTCTCATCATATATACATGATGGGATAGATAATGTACCGAGTTCAGATTTATGTCTAGAGCGTGATGTGTTTGTACTCTGCTTCATTACACCTTCTTTTTCCCTTTTATTTGGGAAAGGAGAAGTACCTTAAAAGCCTTTCTTAAATTCAGGTTTGATTTGTTTATTCAGTGCTTTCCAAAAGCAGTCTGGTTAGAGTCCCTCATCCCCTTCATTTCCTCTGCTGTTCTCCTGCAATATATCTCCTTTCAGTCAAGGACGACTCCATGATGTAGTGGTTTACTCCTTTGGCTGCTTTGAAATAGTTCCAGAAGGCAGATCTCACAATTTTCTTTGGGAAGGTCCTTGTTTTAAAATAAATAAATAAATTAAAAAGTCACCAATACAAAACAGATCTCTAGCATGAGGTATTTTGAGAATAAAATGTTTTGTTGTTTGGTTTTTTTTTTCCCCAGATGATACTCCAGTATGCATTTACTATTTAAGATTATGGGGAATATAATAATCTTAATATACTATTAAGATTATGGGGAAGTTATAATGGGTATTTCAGTTTTTATCTTTCACAGAATATCAACAGCCCTTAATGGCTATGCAATGTTAAAAAATGTATTTTGTTTTTGGAGTTGACCTGAAGGTCTCTGTAGCTGAACTACTGCTTACTTCCCTAGCATAGGGACATGTTCTTTTGTATCATCCGAACATCTTTTATTTTTCCCAAACAGGCATGTTAAGTCTATCAACAAATGTCAGAATCTGCAGACCACAGTTATTCCTTCTCCTTCCTGTTTTTCTAGTCTTGCTTCTTTGCCCATGAGTCAATCCAGAATAGATTTATTTTTTTCTCAAGGATGATGTAGACACTCTTGATTCAAAACCAAAATGTCTACTTGAGTATTTAACAAAAGGTATTTGAAGACAAAAAAGTGGGCTCTGAGCTAGGACACCATTCCCAACTGAAAAAATAATTGTGGTTATTTTACTCAATAGTTTATATTGTTTCTCTTAAATTAGACAATGGTGTTGTCCAATAAAAGATGCATCTATTTGTCATCAGATTTGTAGAAAAACTATTTTTGGAGTATGCTTTTCCTGCAGCTTTCTTGATTCTGCACTGTGCTACTAATTTCTGTTGATTTTTGTAAATTCTGCGTACTCCTATCCTTTCTGTCCCTTGCCCTTGTTCCCACCACTGTCCGCTCTGGGTAGGGGAAATTTAGCACCATCTCTCTTTAGTAGCAGGGAATTTTTAACCATTGACTTTGACATACAGAGTAACTTAGTTTCCAGGAATGCATAGTCCTTGTGAATTACCATGGTGTGTAGCCTTAGTTTACCTGAACCCTGAATATACTGCAAGCTTAGCTGACAAATCCCAGGGATATGTTCCTCTCCCTTGAGTTTTAGGAGAAACAAGATCCGAAATTCTTGAAGAATAATAGGTTACTCAAGTTTCTTCGAGTTAAAAACACCATATACAAAGGGATGTATAGGAGGGAGCAGTTGCTTGATGGCCAGAAAGGAGACTCCTCTGGGGTCCCTGGGTATGCTTCTGCCTCCCTGCGCTGCTGGAGGTGGCTCTCCATCGTACAAGGTGAGATTGCATATATTGCTTGATACCCAGTGTGATCTGGATCTGTGTATTCCATGCATTAATATTTATTTATGTATTTATTTGAAGTTGCTTGTTTTTAAATCAGGCACCCCAAGTTTTGGGGAAGTGAACCTGAAACACAGCTTTAATTGTCAGAAAGCATTTTATCTTGGGTCCTTTTCTTATTTTTCCAGGACTCTAGTTGTAAAATGTTGTTCTGGAAGTTCACTGTGTGAATTTTGGCATCACTTGCTGCACAAATTAGTTCTGAACCAATTTATCTGAAGTTAAGTGCTCAGTCCTCTTACTGGTGGTATTTGGAAAGGGCTTTGCCAGAGGTCACTGCTTGGAATGGGACAGGCAGAGGTCCACATGCCCTGGCTGACTATGCCCCTTCCTAGCCTCTTGCCTCATGCATCAGGACATTCTCTTTAGGTTGGCAGCTTGGCCAAACATACAGCAGCCTCAGTGCCAGCCCTTAGCTGCTCAATGTAAACATCCTTCTTAATTCCTCAGTTGTCTTATGGAATGGCAAAGGGAATTCCCTGGTGGGCTGCAGTGGAAGGGGATCTGTGCATGCACCTTTAAAACACTGTTATGTACAACAGAGGAAATAAATATAATTAGTGTTGTCTGTAAAGCTCTGCTTTACTAGTAATCCCACTGTCTTTTGAGTATGGTAAAGGAATTTTGTTGTCTTCATAAAATCGTGTGCTTGTATCTGTAGTGCCCTGGTCTGACATGGGAGTTTGTAAACTTCCTAGCTCTTCAGAAAACTTTATCAAGGCTTTTATCTATCTACAGAAAAAATAGCATCCTCAAAAAATAAAACATTGAGACTAAGAAGTAAATAAAATTTTTAGATCAAGTGTGCACAATGATGGGTTCTATCTAACCTATTTTGGGGTTTTACAGTATACTTTTGCAAAGATGTGGGATTGATTGTATGCTTCCTCTTTATATACTTTTAAAAGAATATATCAACTTTATAATGATAAAGTTGTGTATCTACACATGACTATAATGGATGTTTAAGTTGTTTTAGCAAATTTGATCTTCTGAAACATTAAACCTTTTTTTTGCCTCATAATTTCTAATTTTCTCACAAATTGCTAGATAAACTTACGATTTTAAACATCTCATTTGGTCAGCCTTTAAGAGTTATTTAACATAGCTCTGGTGAGAGAAGGAAATCCATAAGAAACTGTCAGGCTGAAAGAAATCTGCAGTAAGTGAACTGTCTCACTAAAAGGGACTTGATTATTTTCTTTCTCTTGGCAGTTTTCTAAGTGAATTCATTTGCGGTGAATTCAGAAATCACTGTCAACAAAACTATCTACTGTGTCTACATCTTGGTTTCTCAGGGCTGTGTACACTATTGTGTATGAAAACATAATTTTAAAATGCTCAAAAGCAACTCGACAACTGTGATTGTCCACAGAGTAGTTCTCCTCCATTAATATTTTAAATTGGGTTTGTGCCTAATTTGTATGCCTAATGAATTAAGTGCTGTTTAATCAAGTTTTTAGTAGCCTTCTCTTTGTTTACATGAACCTTCTGTAAGAGAAGGCAACCTTTAGATATGGTGCTCTATAGTCCCTTGGCATAGTAATATGCATGTAGAGCCCAGCAAAGTCCTCCTCTCTCTGGTGTGTGTGTGTAAGTGTGTGTGTGTATATATATATATATATATATATACACACCTGTGATAATGGGAGTGAATCACTACAACGACTATAAACTCCCATGAAACAATAGAGTATTTTATTTGCTGTGTTTTCCATCACAAGGAGAATATTATCTACTAGTGTTCTTATATTCAACACTATACTTTTTCATTCTGAATATAATGAATTAATATTATGTTAAGATAATGAATATAATATTACATTGCAATACACACCAGTTTTAAAGTTTTGCTGTATGCACTTAAAATATTGAAACTGGAATTATGCTAAGGCATAGAGATGGACTTATCCTGTTGATCCTGACATGTTAAGGCTATAAGAATGTCTGTTTCTGTGATATGATGAGATTATAGTATCAGGGAGAATGTCTGCAAGTCTTTAATAAATCAGAAGTCATATTTTACTGATTTCAATCTTCCATAGCTGATCTAAAGGTAAAAGCTTGATTTTTCTTGTTTTGCATTGATGTATTTAATTCTGATTTTAAAATTAAGAATTCTGCTTCTGGTCTTTTATATAACAGCTTCCATATCAACTTGCTTACACCGTCTGAAACATAAAGTCAATGTCACAGGCATGCATTTGGTTTTACATTATGATATATCCTGGGTTTTTGTATTTCAAAATTCTAACGCAGCTCCTCCTTTCCCCTGTGGCAGGATGACAAGGATTTGGTTCATGAGTTTGTTGTCGCTGAAGGTCTGACTTGCTTAATCAAAGTGGGAGCAGAGGCCGACCAGAATTATCAGAACTACATCCTGAGAGGTAAATGAAATGTATCCAAAAGTTGGTTTTATTGCTCTGAAGTTTTCACAGGTCTGATGCAACTTGCCGTGTTAAGTGTCTTGGAACATGTTTCTCAGTTTGGTCCCTATGCTTGCATGTTATGCAGGAAGATTAAAGGGGGATTAATACTGCTGAGCAGGATGAATTGGAAAATCTAAATATTGATAGTCTCTCCATTGTCCAACTTTTCTTGTAGATTATACTGAAAATCTGTAATTCTAAGAAAAAAAAGGTTTTCCAAAGCATTCACTGGATAATTGTAAATGTCAAAGGGCACATAACAATAACTTCTTGGAATGTGATTAGTAATTATAGAATAAACAGTGAGACAGTCATATCTTAAGGTCAGGTGGCTGGAAACAATTTTTAGCTATCTGATATTTTGGAGTTAAAGAGGTAGTCAGAGGTTTACATTCTGTTCTTTGCACTTAACCTTACCTTTGCTACTTATCTTTTTGGAGAGTGATGCAGAAAAGGTGTGTTACAGAATTAGAAAGCTGCTTTACTGTATTGTGGCTCAAATGAATGCATGTGATTTTCATCTGACCAGGAAACCCAGGCTGCAAATTCAGACAGTTCCTTCAGTATTTGAAGGGGTTATGAGTGACAGGAGAACAGTCACACTAAGGGATCTTTGCTGCTGGATGATCTCATAGTAAATACAGAGCACTAATGAATGCATAGTTGTGGGGGATTGCTCATTTGAATTTTCTTAGAGTGACATACATAGCTGTCTTTAAAAATGTCACTTTGATGTATTTAGCTGCCAAAACTCAAACTGCAGATTGAGGAGCAAAACAAATGCAAAAATAAGGAGAAGGATTTTGTAAGAACCAGAAACACTAAGTTATAAAAAGCAAGGATGCAAGTTGTGGTTTCATGCAGAGAACTTGGAGATTAGACTGCATAAATATCAGCTTTCAAGGATATAAAAGAAACCAAACCAGTACCACAGAAATTATGTTATGTGTCAGTAGTTGTGCAGTGATACAAATGTACTTGAATAGCTTCTATATACTCAATACTTGAATAGCTTGTATGTCCTCAAAAGTAAAAGACCACTAACTACAGCGGAACCAAAGAAGGACACAGAAACGTGAAAGGAAAAAGTCTTACTTTACAGTTGAAAGAAAAATTTTCTGGGAGAAAACCGGCTGTAGAAGCCCTCAGACAATTCAGACTGGAAGCAAAATAAAGGTGCTGTATAGGACAGTCTGGCCTTCAGTGTAGGGGCTTACTCCTTTATCAGCTCACCATTGCTCTAGCGTGATTGGATGATGTCTTTGCCCTTCAGCTAGGTTTTGCAGCCAAATACTAAATATTCGAAACAAGGAAGCCTGATAGATGTTTACCCTACCTGAGTGGTGTAAAGTGTAAGTGGCTTCGTAATCCAAACACTAGCTAGCCCTGCAGCTCTTCTTCTCCAATGTCAGATAAGGTCCAGGGCACTGAGCCTTGCAGGTGACAGAATGATCTGCTGATAGCAGGGAAACCAGTCACATCTGAGAGATCTCACCACAGTATTGCAAGTACCTTCATTTTACTGAGATCTCATTTGACACCATACAGGTATGGTTTGAGAAGTATTAAAACCTCCTTTTACATTGATTGCTTTTTTCTTTTATTTTATTTCCTGTTTTTTTTTTTTTTTTT